CCTGTGATAACAATTTAAAAGGCAAAAGCAATACCATCAAACAAAACTCTCTGTGCTTTGCCTTTATTTACAAAGATCCTTAGGTTAAATTATTTCTCTGTTCAACACTGAGTAGGAACTGCTGTGCTTTAGCAGCCTGACATAGCCAGGGGGAGATGCACTGGGCAAATGTCAGAATTTCTGCTGTGTGTGTCAGGAGAGGGTGCCCAGACTTGTCTCCGGCTTGGAAGGAACAACAGAACTGCAAAAGCCAAGTGCCACAAAGCCACTTGTCAATCTCTCCCCCTCTGCCACCCTGACCCTCACGACCCCCACACGCAGGGTTGTGATGCTGGGACTGCATTTGTTGGTGGCAAGAGGAAAAGCACACAGGGACAGTGTAGTGCATGAGGCACTAAAATAATCCAGCCAACTGAAAAAAGCATAAGGTCTGGAAGAAAAACAAACACCAAGGATAGGCTGTGTAAAGTCAGCTGTCTGAACCTCATCCTCATTGATCAGGTTACATAAAGCACTTAACCACATTAGAAACCCATAAATGAATTGTGCAAGGAAAGCTGTAACTGTGAGGGAGGGGAAAGATAATCCAAACTAAAACAATATTTTCTATTTTTCTATGATAATTCAATTTGAATTCAAAACATGACAGTTGCATATTCGGGAAACATACTTGGAGCCTGATTATTACATTTTACATAGACTACAGCCCAATTAAGAAGACACTGTCCACGATGTTAAGTGAGATATTAGAAAGAAAATCTTTACAGTGAGAGTGATGAGGCCCTGGAATGGAATTCCCAGAGAAGCTGTTGCTGCCCCATCCCTGGAAGTGTTCAAGGCAGGTTGGATGGGGCTTGGAGCAACCTGGCATAGGGGAAGGTGCCCCTTTCCATGGCAGGGGGTTTGGAACTGGATAACTTTTAAGGCGTCATCTAAACTCAGACCATTCTATGATTCTAAGGATTTTATGCCTGTACATTCAACATTACATGGAGAGTGCAATCAGAGTGCAACTCCTCACTCAGGATAGTTAATATTTTACAAGTTTAGGCTGGTTCAAAGTCCAAATGCTCAAATTATCAAAAAAGGAATGAATCAATGTCCACTAAAGATTTAATAACTTGTCTCCTGTATCAGGAAGGCTTTGAGCTTCAAGCTGCTGAATGCTGGGAGAATCTGTTGAGTCACAGACCAGAGGATTTAAGGAATCTACATGGTAAAGTGTGTGTGCTCAGTCCAGTAATCTTTATCTGACAGAAATGTGTCTTGGTAAGGGTGAAGACGCCTTCTGCTGCTTCCAAGAACAGGGCTCAGTCAAGTCATTGATTCTCTCTTTCTTTGGCTAATGGGATTGAGATTATGAAGTTGTCATTGAAAACCATATTTTCCAGCTGTCACATACATGCAGCATCTTTCTCAAAGTTTGTCTCCTCTGTTTTCCTATAAAGAAGGTTTAAAACTTCAGATTCCAACAGTCTTGACTGTCACTTTGGATAACTGTGCAGTCATGCAAATGAGTCAAAAGAAGGGCACAGAAGGTTTGTCTAGCTGAAATATTGACACTATCAAAAAAAAAAAAAAAATTTTTTTCTGACTGCTCCTGCAATCCTGTCACTGGTCACTGATGTTGATGGAACAGCAAAAAAGAGCAGCTGCAGTGTTGCTCCAAGATGTGCACAATGTGACCCGAAAGTTCCTGGGCAATTTTCCTAAGGTGTCAGCAAACAAATGTACAGACACAAGTCCTCAGGAGTTTCTCTGCATTCGCTGTAGACACTTTCCTCTCTCTCTGCCAGACAAAACTGCCCCAAGGGAGCAGTGACACACTTATGGCAGGGCCCTCGACAGGCAGAGTCAGGGCTGGGAGCTCTCCTGAGCAGCTGCTCTCTCTCTGAGCCAGCAACCAGTGATGGCACAACTGCTTGGGAAGCTCACAGGGAAAGCTGCTTTCTGCTTTGCAAAATTCATCAAATGATCTCCCCTCTGGAAGGAATGGGTTTGTCTGTCCAAGCCATGCCTGATTCGTGGTGTGGGGAAAAAATTCTTCTTTTGACAAGAGCTGTTGATTCAGTATCATTATTGCAAAAGCAGAAACATCAAGCAGTTAAAAAAAATGCTAATGATCAAAACAATAAACACTAATCATAGATATTAATGGCATAATTTCTTTAATTCACTGAATAGTGACCATCACATTTCTTATCACCAGCCATGGAAGTTAAAGAAGCCTAACTTTAATATCATGCAAATGGGATTTAAACCACTGGAATGGAGTGGTTGGGGCTTTTTTTTTCTGGCTCCTTACTGATCCAACATGGAACAAAATTTCGAGGCGATGTTAAATGGAAATTCTTGCCATTCTTTACCAAACTTTGGATTTTGTTTAGTGATATGTCCTGTGCCAACCAGAGTATTTAGTAATTAGCTCCTTCACTTGCTTTCCTACCTTTATTTTGTCTGAAGTCATGCAGAGCTGTTACACATTAAACCCCAGCTGTTCCTTATCTCCCTAAAGTGTGTAAGAGCTTTATACAAACCTGTTTCTTGAGGTAATCTTTATATACACTGATATTTTAAAAACCATGGATTTTTAAAAAATCTGTTTGCATTAAAATTCAGAATATAATTTCATCAATCACTATGGACACAGAAACCCTGAAAACATTCTGGTTTAGAAGTCCTCAAAGCATAAATATGAAATCTGCTGCACACCACTAGGGCTAACCCAGACTTACAACCATTTATAAAGATCAGAAATCATCATTGTTCCAGTATAATTCAATCCAGGTCCTGCCTCCAGTTCTACTGCTGCAGAGTAACTCTTGTTTTAGAAGCTCAATAATTAGTTTCACAACTGATGATGAAAAGTAGAGCATGATATTTTTCCTGGGGCTTTCATTAGTATCTCTAGGTTCACTTCCCTCAAGACATGGATCTCATAACAGGGTATTAATTTTAGTTTTCTGATGGAGTTTTATTGTAAGATTATTTTGTTCTCTGACTTTCTCCACTAAAGAGATTTTGATTAAAATGTGCCTAGACATAGTCAACTGATGATAAGATTTGTAATTTCCAGTAGATACGAATATTTAACTATACTAAAAGAAATTGTGTTATATCACAGATTATCCTGATGGAACACATTTCCAAACTACTGCAGAGTAAAAGCAGAGTGATGCAATTAAAATTATAGTAGTTGCTCTAGATTTAAATTACCAGGACAGATCCCTGTTTGCAACCATAAGCAGTGTCTCTTCTATAAAAATGGGATAAAAATATATATATAGAAATGATAGATAGATAGATAGATAAGCTGTAAGAACATCAATACTCAGTCAATTAAAGGTCCATTTCACTAATATCATCCTTGCTTCAGGGCTGGCCAAACACCTAAGTAAAGATTCAAATGTAGCGAAATATTTCTACCTATTTCTCCTAGCAATGATGTAGGGCTTGTGGCCATCCCCATCCAAACCAGTGAGATGGTTCTTGATATCCTTCAACAATTGTTTTTCTTTTTTTTTTTTTTTTTAATTGGGTACAATTCCTTCTTGTACCCAGATTTTGACAACCACAATGTCATGACAGAAGAGGTGCCAAAGGTTAAGAAGTGTGAAGAATCTTCTTTCTATGATGGTTTTGAACCAACCCCTTTTAGTTCCCAGTGGAAAGAAGGCACTTTACAAGTCTCATCCTCACATGGAAGGAGAGCATTTTCAACTGAACCTTTGTTAAACAAAAGAATTAACAAAATCTCCCAAACTTTGGCTTTCCCAAGGATAGCTTCACAGTAAAGTTGCTGTCTGCAGGAAAAGTCCCATTGGTGCTTTTGGGTTCTGACTTTTCCAGATGGCACCCCTGCCCTTGCAGAAGGCATACAGCCCCCATTTGGGGGGTAGAAAATCTGTAATTATCATATCCTCTCAGTGAACAATGGCCTGGCAACTAAAGAAGGAGAAACCCAGTCATGCTTTGCATCAGAAAGAGAATTTCACAAATAATTGATGACTCACTCTCCCAGGGACATGAGGGAAAAGAAAGGAAAATATTTTGCTTTCCCAAGGATAGCTTCACAGTAGAGTTGCTGTCTGCAGGAAAAGTTCCATTGGTGCTTTTGGCTTCTGACTTTTCCAGACAGCACCCCTGCCCTTGCAGAAGGCATACAGCCCCCATTTGTGGGGTAGAAAATCTGTAAATCTCATATCCTCTCAGAGAACAATGGCCTGGCAACTAAAGAAGGAGAAACCCAGGCATGCTTTGCATCAAAAAGAGAATATCACAAATAATTAATGACTCACTCTCCCAGGGACATGAGGGAAAAGAAAGGAAAATTTTTTTTTTTTTTTTTTGTGTCTTATACTTGACATTTAAAGTTCATTTTGTTTTACAAAGTAAACATGCTATGGGTGAACCTTCTCTAACAGGATGAAGGATGCTTTGATATCTCACCTCTATTCCTAAGGCTACAGCCCAATCCTACCAGAGACCAACATTCCTTCTAGGTGTAGATCCAGAGCAAAGATCACCAAAAATCCATTTTTATTTTTCATCCCTACTGAAATCTCCAGTTGTTTGTCTTCCTGCTCCTCAGGAGGGTCTCTGGAACATCTCAGAAGGTAAAACCACTTGGGAACACCTCTGGGCTTGGATTGCCCCTGACCCTGCTCCAGCCTGGAGTCTTTAAAACTGCTTCTGCATCTCTAACTCCTAATCCTAATAATTAGGATCCATTAGTTAGCATAGCTGTGAGACTCCTGTAAAATCAAACATGACACAAACAGCAGAGGAAAGGGTCATATGTTGTTTTGTTGGAATAGCACCTTGGCTTAATTTTAAGGATCTATTAAGAATATCTCTAATACCCTTTAAAATAAAATATTTTAGTATGCCATACCTGACTCTGCAGGTGGAGATATTTTTTTCTTACCATGATCAGCTTCCTGAACTATCTTTCAGGCACCTTACAGGGTATGATAAAAGACTTGGCCAAAGGGTTTTACCTGTGCAAAGCTCAGCCAGATCAGCGCTTGATGGAGACCGCGATGATGATGACAACGAGCAGCAGAACAGCCAAAGCGATGGAGAGGAGGCAGCACTTCATCTTCCTGGCTCGTAGCTGAGGGGAGAAAGACAAGGCAATTAATTAGTGGAGATTAAATCCACTAAGAAATGTTGTTTTTCAATTGAAAGAATGGTTTGGAACAAGCTGAAGCAAAATAGAGAATTTCTTTATTTTTTTGGACTGATTTATCCTTCTGGATAATCCAGATTTCTCCTCCTGGACACAATCCCCTTTTCTACAATACTTTCTTTCTGCTTAAATCACCGTGTCACACTAAATTTCCAGGCTGCTTGAAGGACTGAACTTGGGTAAAGCCACTCAGTTTGATTTTAGTCTGGGGGTGTTGGAGCTGCATCTGGCTGCCAGGAGAAAACTGCTCCCTGTAAGAGAAAAAGTTCCCTCTCCACTCTGCTGTGCAACGAAATTTAGACAAGCACTGACATGAGCTGTTCACAGGGCAGGCAAATGTGCTTCCAGTATTAACCACCCTGACCTCATTCACTTTCAGATATGGTAAGAGATTCTACAGTTTTAATTTTGTGTCTGTTTCTACTTGAACCCATCAGTCTTCCTAGTGACCTCTGTGGATGTGATGTTGCTTCTTCCTATTTAAAATCTTTGCAGATAATTCAATTCCCTGTCTCCTTTTTAGATGGATTGGAAGAAGAGTGTTTCCATGATCCCGCAGTGTAAGGAGTTCTGTTATCCAATACGCGCACAAAAAAGTAACTTCAGAGAAATCCTAAACTTGGATATTTTTCTTGAGATCAGATCAACCAGTCCTGCATCCACCAGAGCTGATAGCATCATCTTCATCCCAGAGTCCTTTACCTCCTTACAACTGAAGCAACACTCTCACAGGAGAGATGAAGTTAATATTACTGCTGTCATCCACTTTTCCTCCCTTTCCTTTCCCTAACTGCTGCAATCAGGTTTCCCAGTCTGCCTTGGATCCTTCTCTAACTGCTTTACATCACTCTGCACTGCACTTCCCACAGAGCCATTGCTCCCCAGCTGCTCTGCTCTGTTCTGGGGCTGTTTTGGTCTCCTACACTGCAAAGGACAGGAGATTCATCTCTTCCTTTGGTGCTCCAAATCCTGTCTTTCTTTCCCTCTCAGTGCCCAGCAAGCTGGAGAAGCACTTCCAGCAGGGAACAGTGATGCACGACCTGTTCTCTGTTTCAGAATCAACCACCAATCCAACTGTGGTTTTATAAAAGTGTGGATTTACAGATTACTGTTTTTTGCACGTTAAAATGCTGTACTGTCCTGCCTCCCTAGCATATAATCAGTGAATCATCATGGCTCTGCATCAGCTTTTCAATCACTCAAATAGATAGGTTTTCTTTGATTTGGATGAGGGAAAAAAAATTAAATATATCATTCCATGAGCATTTGTGAAGAGGGATCTTGTCAGGCTTGCTAGGAGGGAATGTGTGAGGGGATACAATTCCACTTCCCAAAACTCCTGCATTGGAGCACAGATTTTGTCATGATTTTCCATCAGTTTATTGTGACTGTGGGGAAGAATATCAGTGGGAAAATTATTGTGATGCAGGTGAGGCCTTGGCACAGGCTGCCCAGAGAAGCTGTGGATTCTCCATCCCTAGAACTATTCAAGGCCAGGTTGGATGGGGCTTGGAGCAACCTGGGACAGTGGAAGGTGTCCCTGCCCATGGCAGGGGGTGGAATGAAATTATTTTTAAGGCATCTTCCAACCTAAAACATTCTGTGATTTTCTGATTTTATTTAACTTTTCTTTTTTTTTTTTTTCCACACACAAAAGGATGTTTCTTCATAGCAGATCCTCACCTAACACTAATTTCTTCAGAAGAAACTGCACTGCATCCTGAATGCTCAGCCCATGAGACAACTTGCTACTGCTTCCCCCTCTAATTTTAACCTTCATTAATTCCAAGTCAAACCAGGAAACCTCTGCTTCAAACTGCAGACTTTCAAAGGCACTTGGTTGTCCTTGTCCACTTCTGAAGTCAGAGCCTGTGTTTGGTCAGCAGAGGATGCTAATGGGTCATTTAGCTTCAAGCAGAATTCTCAAATAGTCCATTAAGAGCCTCGAAGAGTGCACAGTTATCACTTCACATGGCTTTTACATCATTCCCTTTGCAGAGAGATTCTCTTCTTTTTCCAGCATTTCCAGTCACTTTTATTTTGCATTTGCACAGTCTCTTCTCCCTTCCCTTTTTCCTTGCTTTTAACCAACTAAACCATAAACAGACTGAGACTGATCAGAGGACAGGAGAGCTACAGCTCAGTCTGAATCCTGGGATTTGGTTCACATTTTATGATCCTGTCCTGACTGGCAAGTCAGGGTAATGATTCCTGCTCTTTAAAATATCTCCTAGCTTGTTTAGTATAACTGTCCTCCAAAGCCATAAAACCCACTGTAGGATTCTCCTGTCTATTACTAGTTTTGTTGATTTTTTTTTCCTTATTTTACATTTCAATAAGGAAAATGTTGAATTCTTTGAGTTGCTTTAGTCTCCAGCCATAAATCTGTACATGCTGGTGGAGCAGGGAAGCAGCTTCTGATCCCTTCCTGGACACACCACCTTTCCTACAGATCCTGAGGAAGAGTGGCAGGATACCAGCACCCCAGGGTTTTGTCACTTACTTAAAAAAATACTGAAATATGAGCAAAAGCAGCATGTCCCCTCACTGGACAAATGCCCACCCTGCTTCAGGAAGGGCCTTGAAAGAATCCCTTCAATGAGACTTGGCACGAAGATTGGACTTGATGACCTTGGAGGTCTTTTCCAGCCTTAATATTCTATGATTTTATGGTACCCCATGGAGCTCACCAAGCCTATCCTGTGGAGAGGACCAGCCTGGATTTCTGTGAGCTCTTGGGACCCTTTTCCTGCCTTTGTCAGAGGAGAAAGATGCAAGCACAGAATGTGTTGAACAGATTCTCTTCCCCAGACAGGATCCGCAGACTCTGGTATGAGCACCCTCACTTAAATATTGCATAAATATACATTAATAAACATAATAAATAATAATATTACATCTAACTATCTCTGCCATCATCCCAAGTTTAGGTCAACAGATTCTGATTGCCAAACTGAGATTACAAATGGTGTCTTAATGCCCCACTGCAGTTCTTGAAGGACATTGAGAGACAAAAATAAACACATCCCTTTTAATGAGTTTTTCAAAGGGTTTTTTTTAAGAACCCCGAGGTAACATTGCACACTGGAAGCACAGCAACCTCAGAAATGTAAGCACTGGGCAGTGAAGAAATTCCAGAGTTTGTGTTTTCAATATATCTTTGCCTCTCTCCAAAGTCTTTGCCTCTCTCCAAAGTAGGATTTCTGCCTCATTCAGTAAGGGAATAATTATTATGCTGCGTACATCACACATGTTTAGAAATTTTACTTATCTACTCAGGTTTTCTTAGGACATCTATCTAAAGTCATGTTCACATGAGACCACGCAAATCTCTCACTTAATGTAAAGATCCTGATTTTTTTTTTCCAAGGGGTTTCCATGACAGCAGAATCATATAATTAATGCTTTCCATCCCAAACATCAGTACAATGATTGGGTTATATCCATTTTAAGTGGAGGAAGTAGAAACACATTCCATGGATGAAAGCACAGCTGATCTCAAGAGAGTTCCAGTTTTCCCAAGGAATAACAAAAAAAGAATAAAAAGCAAATGTGATTCATGACACCACCCCTTGCATAAAAGTTAATCTACACTTACATGGAAATGGAAAACTGTTTCCAAACCTGTAAGAGGATTTCCCACCAGGACAAGTTCCTTGCTGCCTGAGACAGAAACTATGAGGTTTCTGCCACAATTTTAGTAGTCTCAGAATAACAAAACCACAGCCACAGAAAAGTTGAGGAAAAATTAAAAAAAAAAAAAAAACCAAAAAAAAAAAAAAAAAAAAAAAAAAAAAAAAAAAGAAAATAAAAAAAAGAAAAACACCAAAACAATCCACAAGAAGCCAAACCAGCTGTAAATGAGTCATTTATGTTACAGCATAATTCTCCTGGGAGTTTTGCATTTTTGCAGCATTTCCCATGAATGCAACTAAAACACAGTGGATTTTACTCATCTTTCCCCAGTTCTTTCTCCCCTCAGCTGCTGAGTCTCCTTCACTCACACTCTGCATTATTCCTATTCCCTATCTTCCTTGACTTTCCTGGAAGCTCTGAGGCAATGTGACCTCCTCTCAATTCCTGCAACTACACCCGTGATTGCTCACAGGAGCAATTTCAAAGCCATTTTGCCCAGAAACTTCCCCCTGCCCTTGGAGTTAGATGTTTGCAGACAAGACATACCCAAGATCATTGGCACAGCAGATGGATCAGCAGCTGAAGGGCATTTTTGGTACAAGCTAAACTTGGATGGTCTTCACCTCAACTTAACAAAGTATCCAGAAAACCTGAGGGAATAACTGTTTTGTTGTTTTCTTGGGGTTTTTTTTATCCCAGAGACCTGGAGGTTTTGCCAAACACTCATGCAGGTCACAAAAATCTATGGCTGCTTTCTCTATTTTTTCCTGTTAAATTGCAAAACTCTGTCCACATACAGGAGCTGCTGGAATTTAACAAAACCTCCCAAAAAAACCTATTTTTCCCAGGAAGATGTATCCTGGAACTCCACCTGACTCCCTTTAACTGTCTGTTCAAGTGAGTATTTAAATAGAGAAATCAACGCAACAAACAATTTCAGGCTGAATTTGGGAAAAGTTCAAAGCTACAAGATTATCTTCTGCTGGAAAATGTAACAGAAATAATTATAAGCCCACTATCTGATTTCATTTTAATTATCTTAGCTTATTTTAAACCTTGAATGCTATGCTGCAGCACTGCTCTGGTTTTATAGCTCTGTCCCAACCTGTTGTAAGTCCATTTCCCACAACACCTAGAATTTGTTGATTAAATTGGAGCTAATCTATTTTCATTGTACACATTTTCCCAAGATGAAAAGAATGCAACATGGGACCAAAAAAATTCTAATCCTGTAGCAAGATGTAATGGCTTTTTACAGTTATTTTTTCTGGGCTCTCAGGGTTTTTTAG